TATTAATCCTCGCATTTTATATCAGGCTTGACGTAAATTACAAAAATATATATATCTTACCACTTTCCTTATACAGGGTGTTACGCTTTCAAACCATACACCCGAAGCTTATTTTATTTTACAGAGTTGGCAGCATGACGCTACACGTAGGACTAGAATATACATACTACGCAGGTGGTACTCGCCACTACGCATGGTATAGTATCGTATAGCGTATACACTGTAGTTGCCTATCTAGACTGTGTTACAATATAAATAATTCAGAAACGGGGGGTTGCCTATCGCACGTAATACCTCGTCTGTTAAAATATATGCGAGAAATACTAGGCCCTGTATAGCGACACGCGAAATATATTCTCTTTCATTTATAGTTTCCTTTTACACTATACCCATACTCGGTATATGTATATATAAAGACAGCGTGCTTATCCATAGACGTACCATAGACATTATCCATAGACGTACAGAGCCTTGAATTATAATATACTTAAATACGTTTTGTCCTTTGAACTTTTAAAATTATGTCAAAAAGCAGTTTCAGGTGGTTCCTGTTTTTATATAAATTATTTATAATTTCTTAAAAAATAAAGTGTATATATATATATATATATATACGCATTTCAGTATAGTATGTAATCATCGGCTAATTTAAATAAATGGTACCTTGGTATGGTAACCGGGCTGCGATAATTTTGCCGAAACGATGAGATCATGAAATTCCACGTAGAATTTCATGAGTTCGTGGAATCGCGCGGTTGGTACCAGTTATAACGACGTGAACGCGTTCCGGGCGTCGCTGACTCGAGAGCGAGACGACATCCCGATGGCTTCGATGGAAGATTGCGCGATACAGAGAATCGATTTCGATCGAAAGAAAGAAAGCAGTGAACTAAATAATAGAAATAAATAAAACTGGTACGGAAGGCGTGAAAAGTGAATTCGAGCGGAAAGAAAAATTAACGGTATCGATCACGATCGATAAACGATCGGGAAATAATGGCCGATAGGTATCGGCTCGTTGCGAATCGTTTCTGTGACAGTACAGATTTTCTATATCTATTTATAGATCGATATACAGTAATACAGATATTTCTATACCTGCCGTGTGTACTTGCCTTTATTTTTTTTAGACAAGAATACTGCAATTTTTCACGGTGTGTATACCTGTGTGTGTGTATATATATTAAATCTGGATGCGTAGATCAACTTTGTAGAATTCGACTGGAATTCTGGAATAAGAGGTTTGCTAGGACGAAAAGGACCGGAGAAAAGGTTAAGAATGCTGTCGAAGAAGAGAGGATAGGAGTAGGTAGATATAGTGTCCATACGTGCACATATGTCTATATAGAACGAAAAGCAGCAGAGAAGCTGCCAGAGTCCGCTGTTACATGAGTAGTATCGATCTTAGACATTCCTGGCAACGTCCTCTGATATCATATAGGCAAAGGCAGAACGTATGAACGCGAGTAAACACATGCTGTAGCGAATTCAAGAGCACGTGTGATAAAAGGAAAGTGAACGAAAAATGAAGTTTTTCATATTTTGAGTCAAAAAATAATTGTTCGTGAATTTTAATTGTTCACCTTATATAAGACGAATTTCATTGGGAGCGAAGGTGCTGTAAAAAAAATTTTATTAATTTTGGCAAAGATATTCTTTTTTTAGACTATCGATAAATTTCACAAGATACACCATTCCCGTATCTCACGCAGCATCCGGATATCCTGCATCGGTCCAGTCGTCTGTATCTCTATGAAGAAATGCACGATGTTATATAGCCGAGGATACGAAGCACTTGCCAAGAATGCTTTGCGAAATGTGTGTTAATTTCGAAGAGGCCAAAAATATATTCTTGATTCCGTAAATAGTGCGCGTGATAGGGTGGTGCTCTGACTTTCTCAGTATCTTTAAAAAGTATCGAACAGGAGGTCAAAACAGACAGGAAAGATAAAAGGCAGAATAACGGGGGGCGGGGAGGGGGTTGGGGAAGAAAAACTAATACGAAAAATAGTACAAGAATCTTTGTTCAGTTCGTATCGAGCGTCTCATAAAATATATCTTCCTTTAATGTGCGAGATGATCATCTTGCGTTATATTTTTATTTCAGCTTCCTACGTTCTTCTCTTTTTTTTCCACATGTATTGCCACCTGAGTATCTAACTATATCTTATATATATACATATATATATATATATATATATCTGCGATACATGTACCCTACATCGCTCGCAATTTACCAACAAGTCGTGATAAATGCACCAACCCGTCTACTCGAGTACGTCTCTCCGTAGCAAATTTTCTGTTGTGCTTGATGTGTGTCCTATACGTTGATACATATATAGTAAGACACGTATGAAAGACAGGAGCTGCCAGGAGCAACTGTAGGGAACGCGTCCTGGAGCGTCCCGACGCTTCCTCTGGCACTAAAACTCACAGTACGTTGCACGTCGAATGCCTTTTTTTTTCTACCCGTCTCTCCGTATCCCTCGCTTCTGTATTCCCCGACTTTTTTTTCGCACAATCCTTCTATCTTTCTCTCATACGAGGCGTCTTGGCATCCCGACGCTCGGCGCCTAGACGGCGCGTAAATTTCTTCGAAAAATTTAAGAGCGCCCCGAGCCGTCGGAATTTCATCGGCGAAACGGGCATCGCTTCGACTAGTTTACTCGAGTTTTCAAGAATCGATCCCCACTACTTTCACGACAGACTGTATCTTCCATATTTGTTCGAAAATTCGAAAAAAAAACCCAAAAAATAATGTCGATTCTGAACGGTTCCATGTATATGCCTTGTATATGTATATGTATATGTATATGTATATGTATATGTATATGTATTCCATGCCTTGCGCACAATTAATTGACACCGTTGCCAGAAATTTGGATAAATTTAAATATAACTACCACGAAATGTCGCGAAATTTAATTGTGTATGGTATTAGCTGTATGTATGATTCTGCAGCTACATGAGTAGGAAGGAAATATGAATAGCTATCCATATTTCCTTCCTATAGAGGGACTTCCCAGAAGCATCCTGATGCTCTTCTTCCCGTTCTAGTTTCCATCGACTTCTTTTTACCGTTTTGACAATACGTGCGGATCCCATGCTCGGCTCAGGTGCACCCGCACACATTCGCGATCTTGCATTTATGTACGTGCGCGAAGTTCCGGCGGGTGAGCAGATATAATTATTGTGCTCCTTATTAAGGAATAGCAGCTTGCCGCGCGGCACGTCAAAACTCTCGGCAGCGCGGCGACCGCGACGTTGCGATTTTCTAGAGAAGACTTGACGTGTATATATAGATATACAATTAACAAAGGACACCAGCAGCCAAAGTGTACCTAGGCTACAAATCCTCATAGCAGTTGGACGCGAGTATAACAATGCAAGAGAGAAAGGAAGAGGAGAGGCAAGTAAAATGGGAATATAGAAAGGAAAGAAAGGAAGTACGAGCAAGATGGTCAAATAAAAGAGACGAGCAAGCGGAATCAGCGACAAGTGGAAAAAAAGGAAAAATAAGAGACGTCGAGTATAGGAGGTCAGCTAAGGAAAACAAGCGCAATTAAAAAACCTTAACGTTCCGCCATCTCACGCGTGTCCAAGATAAGGACTTCTTCCTCGCCCAGAGAAGCAGCCATCGTCGTGAACGTCTGAGATTAAGTAGCAGTCGACCCAGAAACTGCCAACCTTGTTTTACCGGACGCAACGAGGTGCGTCCGTTGTGTGCGGGCCGTCGCGACGCCTCGCGCCGCCTGGAACGAGAATAAATGTATTATCCCACCTGTGTAACTCGTGCCATTCAAATACGTACACTAAAGAAAACACCATACGTAACGGTCGATGCTGCTTCTGACATCCGTTGAGACGGTACCTTCCGCCCGACTGAACTGGAATTTTTCTCTAAAGAACAAAACGAGCAAAGAAATTTATAAGAGAGAGAGAAGGAAAGAGAATACAAAATACAAAGAAAAAAAAAGGTATACCAACCCGGAAGAACGCTACAATGAACTTTTTCCACTGGATCCTTCCTGGCTTTGCAGTGACTATCAGACAAGCATTCGATTACGTAATCAAACGTCCATCTTGAATTTCCACCAAGATCCATTCTGGTTTCGGAGTAAATGAATCGACGCTTCTTTCTCGCTGTTTGTCTGTATTTCTCTCTCTTTTTCTCTCTCTATACGGCATACGAACAGATCACCTAGTGACATATCCATAAGCGTGCAACGTACGTACGGAAGAGTTCAGATATATCTACATGCGTATAATGTATATATATATATATATATATGACATATAAAGAGGGACACTATAGCTCGAGGAACACAGAGGCGCGGAGAGCTAAACCAACATTTACTGTGTTGAGAGGCACCGAGCCCAGTGGATCCACCCTGGCAATCGTCATCGCCCTTCCTACCCGCCATCATGGAATTACGATACTTGCAAGCAAATTATATTTATTCAGAGCACACTTGACGCTAGTCGCGCACGTTCTGCGTCATTCGAACGATTGGCCGATTTCGGGTTTATTCGAAAACTCATTGCGGGTACGATTTTGTCTCACTCAATTAAACACGGGTAAACAGAGAAAGAACGACACTCGTGAATACTGGGGCTGTGAGTTTAATAATACATTCTTCGTTTGCCATCACTTTTACTTACTCGAGAAAGAATTCGACGTGGTCGACATTCGTTGTATACGTCTCTCTGTTTCCTTTAGCCTGCTGACGTAACCTTGTTAAGGTTGGGACTCCGGTGTTTTCGACTCCCTGAAAAAAGAACTCTCTTGACACTGACAACTCGTAGCAAATTTTCTTTGTATTTTGTAACATGCACGGTCACTGTTATTACTATCTCGATATGCCTCAATACGCGTGTTTCCATAACGTGACATTTTCGAAGGGTTTACAAGTCCACGACGTCACGCACGTCGCTCGAGTATTTTAAGTTAAGGAGGTATTAAGGAGTTGGCACTACTTGTATAGTGACACGCGATCCCGTACTAGATTTTTTCTTCGCGCTGTTACCAGACCTGCTTCTGTCTAACGTTGGCAGTATGGTTTCATGTGTTTTCAGGCAGATTGCAAATGGCGCGTAGTATTTTGTCAGTGGTCAACGTGTGACAGTTTGTAGGAAAATTGAGAAAATCGTTTCGAGTAAAGAAGTTACGGGAAGTGAACTGACGGAGAGAGGGGGAGAGAGAGAGAGAGAGAGAGAGAGAGAGAGAGAGAGACACGTGCGAGAAACAATTTGTATGGCAAGCACAAGCATAAACATTGTCGACCGCGATACAGAGATTAATGAGGTATTTCTCCTACATGCATTATGTTACATACCTGCCTATGTATATATGTATATATGCTGAATAGTTTCAAGGGAAGCTATAGGCATTTGACATCATTTGCCATCATCATTACGGTCATTGACTGCCTATTGATATATATGTTCTATAGGTGGTGGATAATTTCTATATAAATAGAACGCCTGGCAATGCTCTGGCATATTGACAATATAATTTTCGTACATGAATATTACGTGTGGGGTAATAAAAAATTTTCGTACGATCTAGTAAAATAGTCTCTCTGTATTTCATTATCCTTCCATCTTTCTCTCTCCCTAAGCGTGTTAGGGACCCGTTTCAGTGACCGTGCAATGGGCGACCCCGTACACGAGAAACAATTTGTAGAGCAAGTATCAGGGGGTTGTTGGGGGTTGCTGCGGACTGCGGCTTCTGCGGATCCGCGGGTTCCTGACCGCACGATGCCTTCTACCTCTGGGAAAACTAGACCCGCGAAACCCCAACACTCGGCTGTCCCTGGACGAGCCTGATACAGGTTACCTTGACAACACTACTTCGACATTACACGAGAATTCCATCTGTACCACTACCCCTGTATCCTTTATCCCGAATTTACTCCTTCAATACATCCCACGAAACCGTCATTAAAAATGAACGCGAGACTGGCTAATTATTTAAACCTCCCTCCCTAGGTGGAATGCCATCAAAATTGAATAGACGAAATGAAAAAAAAAAAAAAGTGAAGTCCCTAACGAAGAACTGCAAAAGAGTATAAAAGGAGGTGAAAGTGAAGTGAAAAAACTGTACCGTAGAGGGAGAAAGAGAAGTCAAAGAGAAAGCAAGAAAGAGAGGGTGGCGAGCAGGGATCGAAGCTACCGGTGGAGAATGGACGGTGGACCAGGTGGGGGTCGGCGTAAGGGGGTTGGAAAGCGCAGAGTAGTGCGATGAGGTGGGACGCGGTGTGAGCCGACGGCGAGAGGGGAAGGCGAAGTGAAATAGGGAGAAAGAGAGAAAGAGGTAAAGTGGGAGATGTGTCAAGCATGTACCGAGTAATTCATTGCACGATCACTTGTTGATGCTGCGGCAAAAAGGGTCTCTGCTCCAGGGAGAAAAAAAAAGCGGTGTTGTACACCTCTCTCGGTTCCGGCCAATTTATCCGTTCGGCGTTAAAAATAGCAGATAATTAAAACAACTTTATCCACGGTGACGTGAAACGAGTGAACTTGTTGCGTCGGGGGTGAACGTCAAAAATTATTACGTACGTACTATAGGAGTACGTGCGCGATAACAGAGATTAATTTACGTGAGATGAAAATCTTTTAAACTCTCTTACGTCACAGATCTAGACGACGTATGCGTCGGTGTATTGGGTCGAAGAATTATGAGAGAAAGGTGGGTGAGGGAAAGTGAGAGATGAGAGCGTGGAGGGGGGGGGGGAATTGGGGTTGAAAAATTGTACCTTTACTGAATTGTAAAAATATCGAGTGGTTTTCCTGTTTAATGAAAGAAAAACAGTGAGATAACCGAGAACGGACGTGCGTCGCGGCGCCTTGTGACGTCAGGGACTGGCATCTGGATTCTGGGTCCTTTTGTCGCTCCGAGAGGGCAGAGCGGTGGGGATGCTGATGGAAGAACTGGAATTGGCGGTAAAACGAAGAGGAGACTCCTGTACGAGTGAACGTTGAATGGACCTGGGAACGATGCTGGAGGCTAAAATCAACACTGCTGAGAAAACAGACGCCAGGATGGAACGAGACGATAGGAAAATTGTGGATAGGAACGAGACTCGATGCTTTTCTTTATCTTGACCTGATATCAGGTTTGGCTTTTATTTTTATTTTATTTTATTTTTTTTTTTGGAAAAATAAAAAGTTCAGTGATTTTACAAAGTCGTCGAATAATCATTATTGCGTGGTACGGATGATATTTGTATTTCTTTTTTAGTATTTAGAGATTCAGAAGAAAGAATAAAGCAGAAATAAATGGAAAAAAAAGAGAGAAGATAAATAAAGTCGTTACCATCTTTCCAGCAGTGAAAAATCATTCCAGCACTTCTCTTCTCTCGTACACGCTTGTCCTGTCGCTTCTCGGACTTCTGTGTCCCCTCATCCTGAAGCGAATGGCTCCGCCGACCAAGAGATACCGAGATGATTTTCCCTGGAGGCTGTGTGTGACGTGGAGAATGTTTGCTTTGGGTATACCAGTCATCCCATGCTCCTTGGATCCTCTCCCGTCTGCCTAAGAGCCATAGACGAGATCTTCTTCGTAAACAGCTTCTATACGCAATGTTGGAGGTATCGGCTCTCTGGCGTCATCGATATTAATAAGAATAGAGGTAAACCCACTGGTTCTACCTTCGCTCGGAGTGGCTACGTGTCATTGTTGCCAAAAGTACGTAAAAAAAAAAAGTTCAATCATGATGAAAAAATACCACAGAGTTTACGAATGCTATTTTTTACAAGAAACATTTGCATTTAAAAATAAACATCAAGAATGAAACCTGACTAGAGCTAGAATGAATAATAGTTCAGGATGATGATGATGATTTCATTGTAATATCAGGATGAATAATTATTGTGGTATAAAATTTGGAAATAACCGCACTTTTACTATTTCGTACACTTCTTCCCTTGTATAGTCTTTTCTTGAAGATCTTTAACGCGCATTTCGCACATCCCATTTGAATTTCGCGATTTAATTTGAATCTAGTCAAATGTTATCTTTCGCGTCTGTAAGTATACACAAGAACCTTGTCCACTATAGCCCACTATAGACGCTCTCTTGTCTCTCATCGCAACGACTTACGCAGCGCGATGCTCTGACGCGATTTCGTATCAGGTTTCGCAGTATAACTTTGCATAAATATAGAAGAACAACTGCGGTAACCGGAGAGAAACGTCATACACGTTGTTGGGAGATAATAAATTTCGAAAAACAGAAAGACACAAAGATAAGGTCAAAAATTGTCTAGATTCATTATCAATTACAGCAGCTGAAAAATGTCTCTCTTTCTCTCTCAATACCCAATTAATATCGCTAGACAGTAAAGATATCAAAGATCCTCCTACACGTCCTCCAAACCAACATATGACGCGGGCGATTATACTGGTTACACAAGAATATCTAAAAAAGAAATTCAAGAATCTCGAAACAACAATCACGTAGGATGTCCAATGTGTATAAGACTGTGCGAATGTGAAAATTCCACTGTACCAAAAAAAAAAAATAAGAAAACGTCTCAAAGATCGGATAAATCCAGCATCTCTTGAAACACGCAAAGATTCCAGGACTTGCTCGATTCCTTGAAAAGGATGCTGTATCCATGGAAGTAAAGGCACACGTAACCATACAGAGTCCACGCTGGACTCACTGGACCAATGGATGCTGGATGCTTGGAAAGTAGTACGAATCGAGCCCGAAGGTAAAGCCGCTACCCGTTTCTCAGGACATGAGTGCTAGTTGTGGGTTACGTGTCCCTGATATACCACACGGTTATTGCGTTATGCCATGTGTGTACATATGAGCATGCATGCGGCTCATATAGCGGCTTGGCTGGCGAACTTTAATATAAGCTTGTATGATATCCGCACCTACATATATACACAGAATATAGATATAAAAACGTACGTATACCGCATCGAGTATATATATATGAATATATATATGCTTTAAGTTACATATAAAGACAAATGTACAAATGTGCATACACTAAAGTTCAAACGGATACGCACGTAGACGTGTACGCAGGCGGGTACGCAGGCGGGTGGCTGGGCTGCGTGCGCTTCGTGCGATATTCAAATGAGGGTAGATCAGTTGCCGTAGGCTATACACGTTTCCATACCTCCGTGACGGGAATCGTTTTCTTCTCTTTTTTTAACATTTTTTTTCTCCCACTTTTTTCTCCTACTTTTCAAACTTCCATATAGTAACGTCTTTAAACATCAGCCAGGTCCTCGGCACATAGTGCGTTCTCTTAAACAGTCATACACACCAGGGGTGGTATCGCGCAATTTTTAATCAGATAATTAACTCGCCAAATTTATTTGTCATTATCATTTTTCGATTGTCAAAGAAACATGGGTAATTTTGTAATTTTAATCGCGTAGGGAGACTATGTGGAATCTTTTACTAGGGACTTTTTTGCGTCGACTTACCAACATGTATATTACGTTCTGTGTGTCTAGTTGATTTTCCGTAATTTAACTCGCACGGCATACGATTGCGATTGGTAATAAGGAGCGAGAGAGACGGAGAGCGGTGGGTATAAGAAAAAAGAAGAAAAATATAAGAACCTGATGGAAAAGTCCAAGAACGAGGATGCAAAACGTCGATCGGTTACGAAACCATCCGTAGGTCCGATCTCGCGAGAGGCTCCTTCGTATCGTCGGCGATCCCACTGGTAATCTCCTCGCATATTATTAATGTGTCGAGAGAAAACGTGACCGGCACGGATGTTCCACGTCAAATAATTCCCAGGATATGCTTGAGAGCATCGTAGATACGTACCGAGGGGGTCATAGAAATACTTCTCTGATCCTTTGGAAAGGATGCGAGAGTCCTTAATGGGACCGGATACATATTCACAGTGTATATAGATATACGCGTGTAAAGAGATACAATAAGTAATTCTTATACGTGCATAAAGGGAAATGATAAAGTTTTAAGAACACAAGGAAATTCGTGTCCCTAGGGACTTTTTTAAATAAAGTATACCCAAATGGCTTATGCACGTATATGGAAGAGGTAGCGAAGATTCTGAAGCGATATGTAACGCATGCGGTTGATCTTGGCGAGTAAGAAAGCTGAGAGAAATGGAAGATGCATTTGGCTTCGCTTCTTCTCTTTTCATACCAGGCAGCATCTCGATTTCGGGACCCATTCTCGTAAGAGGCGGCTCTTTTCATCTGTCCTTTGGGACCTAGGAGCGCGTACCTGATGCATTCTGCTCTCTCCCTACGGAACCCCCTTCGGGCCCCTATGGACCCATCAGGCCCTGATGCCGCCACCGCCCACCGCCACCCCCGCCGCGGTGCCCCAAAAAGGCCCCTCTGACAGTTGACAAGTTGCTCTTGGATTTTTCGTCCCACCTCTCCCCTCACCGGTTTGCCCGGAATCCCTTCCCTCTGGGATTAAAGGTGCGTGCACAAGAAATCCTGCGGGATCACTTTTTCGAGAATTCGTAGTCAAAGTGTTTCCGTTAATTAACAAAATAAATCAATACCACAAACATTCGTAAACACTTCGAGTTTTGTGAACGATCTAAGTTGAGTGCAAAATATATAATAATTATTTAATACACAAATTCATAATCCATTTAACCTTATCGTTGATAGAGAATCATTTATCAATTTCACAGATACAATTTTTTTTTTTACGTAAATCAAGGGAACTGCCGTCAATCCTTATCACGGTGTGAACGTAGCCTTATCCGATATTCTCGAAGGCAGAATGAACGACTGCAGTGGCGCGGAACCCCATGGCGATCGCCGAAGGTCGTTCTCCTCCCTTGCTACTTCTCCTCT